CACTGTACAGTGCTTTAACAACACCTCTAAAGTGCAAGTAACTAAGTAGTAGAAAGTATATTTATTTCTTCCTATACATTCAAGTTATAAAAGAAATGTAAATCGAAGCACAAAATGTGCATACTCAAAAAAGTGCAATATTATATTCTAATTATAATTTTGTAAACAATAACACTTAATAGCTGATCACACTTAACAGCAATTGCGAGTTATCAGGCCAATTCTAAGGGGGAAAAAATACTAACCTTTTTCCCTCTCAGAAGTTTATATCTCATAGACTTTATATCATGCATTTCTGACTTTATATCACGGAATTCTGACTTTATATCATGCATTTCTGACTTTATATCATGCATTTCTGACTTTATAACACCCAATTACGACTTTATATCACGCAATTGTGACTTTATATCTCGCAATTCTGACTTTATATCTTGCAATTCTGAGAAATAAAGTCAGAATTGCGAGAGGTAAACTCCCAATTGTGAGGAAAAAAAAAGAGTCAGAATTGTGAGATAAAAAGTCGCAATTACCTTTTTTATTTTCCATTCTGTGGCGGAAACAAGCTTCCATAGTTCCCGGCTTACAGTGGAATCCAAAATGAGCCCAAACGTCGGCTTTTAATGTTGGCGGTGCAGTCTTGAATCAGGCTTGAACGGAGTGCAGCTGTTGTCCGTCATCGCGCTGTTTTGCTAAGGGCTAAAGCGCGACTTGTACAACGCTGAACGCTCTCACTAGAGTGTAGCCCACAGCGCCGCCACTGGCCTGGATGGCTGAATCGATTCATAGGATTTGATGAATCGATATTGAATTGAGAAGCAAAAAATTGCAATGCATTGATGAATCGATATTTTTACCCAGCCCTAATTGTCATGTTCAAGAAACCAGTCTGAGATGATTCCAGCTTTATGACATGGTGCATTATCCTGCTGAAAGTAGCCATCAGAAGTTGGGTACATTGTGGTCATAAAGGGATGGACATGGTCAGCAACAATACTCAGGTAGGCTGTGGCGTTGCAACGATGCTCAATTGGTACCAAGGGGCCCAAAGAGTGCCAAGAAAATATTCCCCACACCATGACACCACCACCACCAGCCTGAACCGTTGATACAAGGCAGGATGGATCCATGCTTTCATGTTGTAGACGCCAAATTCTGACCCTACCATCCGAATTTCGCAGCAGAAATCGAGACTCATCAGACCAGGCAACATTTTTCCAATCTTCTATTGTCCAATTTCGATGAGCTTGTGCAAATTGTAGCCTCAGTTTCCTGTTCTTAGCTGAAAGGAGTGGCACCCGGTGTGGTCTTCTGCTGCTGTAGCCCATCTGCCTCAAAGTTCGACGTACTGTGCGTTCAGAGATGCTCTTCTGCCCACCTTGGTTGTAACGGGTGGTTATTTGAGTCACTGTTGCCCTTCTATCAGCTCGAACCAGTCTGGCCATTCTCCTCTGACCTCTGGCATCAACAAGGCATTTCCGCCCACAGAACTGCCGCTCACTGGATGTTTTTTCTTTTTCGGACCATTCTCTGTAAACCCTAGAGATGGTTGTGCGTGAAAATCCCAGTAGATTAGCAGTTTCTGAAATACTCAGACCAGCCCTTCTGGCACCAACAATCATGCCACGTTCAAAGTCACTCAAATCACCTTTCTTCCCCATACTGATGCTCGGTTTGAACTGCAGGAGATTGTCTTGACCATGTCTACATGCCTAAATGCACTGAGTTGCCGCCATGTGATTGGCTGCTTAGAAACTGACATAGACGCGCAGGCAATCATTTCCAGCGGAACGTTGGACATGGTTCAGTTGGACAATGGACAACTGATTCAGATCAGTTGGACATGGCTGTGGTTACATGAGGTAAAAATAGCATAAGGGTCAGTGACGTGCCGCACTGATTTGCACTTCCAGGAGCAATAAATATTATATATATATTAGCACTTCCAGGAGCAATAAATATTATATATTAATATAAAATAGTTTTAAAATTATATAGATGTTTTAATCTCACATCACCTGTCCTCCTCACTGTTCTTAATTGTGTTAAATTTCAAAAATAGGTAATTTTTAGACTATTAATGTGGTCAAATGTCATACGGTCAAACGGAATTCACTTAAAGTTATTTCAGACAATTGTATTTAAAATTATTAAAAATGATAAAATTTTTCATTTGGCATATTTTTTCAAGTCTTAAGATAAGCATATTAAAGTATCAGTATAGTGAAATTTGATGGCAATCAGAGGACCCCTGAAGACCAGCCAAGTTGAAGGCAAGTTTAAGATTTTGCACCTAAATTTGGGGTAATTTCACCTTTTCCAAGTGTGTTACCATGTGTCACAGATTTGGGTGTCATATGGTCAAATGTCAAAAAAGGGTTTAAAACATTTAAAATTTGAAAAAATATTTATTTACAGGTGAAATATAAAGTTTAAAAGTCAAGGTAAAGGGTAAAGATGGAAGGAGGTGGCTAAGCAACTGCCTGTTATAAATGACACAGCACAAAATTGTCATAAAGGCAAACAAAAAATGTCATCTAGACAAACGATTTTACCGTATGACATGTTGTTATACCATGACACAGAGCATTTAACTGTTATATCACATATATAGTTTGTACGACTACTATGAATTAATATTAACATAATATATTTCTGCCTATTTTAAGCATTTTTTCACATTATTACAGATGCCTCTTTCTAGTCAGGAGAGGGGTGCATGTTTCCGTGCAAAGCTAAGGGCAGATCCTGAGGCTAGAGAGGAGAACCTAGCCAAGAGGAGGGAAAGGTATAACTGTGAGATTATATGATGCCAGTAATGTTAGGATGTGCCAGTTTAGTCAGTACAGGCAGTATCTTATCTATAGGCCTGAGTTGAAGTCAGCATCACAATGTTTCTGGAAAGTGGCTTTATATACAGTGGGGCCAAAAAGTATTTAGTCAGCCACTGATTGTGCAAGTTCTCCTACTTAGAATGTTGAGAGAGGTCTGTAATTTAATTTTCATCATAGGAACACTTCAACTATGAGAGACAAAATGAGAAAAAAAGTAAACACCAGCTACAGTGTGTGCAAACCTGATGAAGACTTACAGGAAATGTTTTACCTCTGTCATTGCCAACAAAGGTTATGTTACAAAGTATTGAGTTGAACGTTTGTTATTGAACAAATACTTACTTTCCACCATAATTTACAAATAAATTCTTTAAAAATCCTAATGTGATTTCCTGGATTTTTTTTTTTTCTCATTTTGTCTCTCATAGTTGATGTACCTATGATGAAAATTACAGACCTCTCTCATTATTCTAAGTTGGAGAACTTGCACAATCAGTGGCTGACTAAAGTAAATACTTTTTGGCCCCACTGTAGATATATTATTCACGTGTGTGTGTGTGTGTGTGTGTGTTTGTGTGTGTGTATCTCACTGTTGTAAATCTGACTGATATATGGTCATGTTTTACATATAGCATGTCCTATGTATTCCTTGTACTTAAAGAGAGTTGAGTTGACTAAAAGAAATGTTCATGTGTTGGGAAATATATTCTACTGTTAAAAAAAGGTTCACTTGAGATGCCCGTTTCTTTGAAATCATTTTGAATTGGCCTACATCAATTTATTACATTAAAATGCAATGAAACATTGAAATTGTACTATGTCATATGGTAAAACAAAATATGTCATATGGTAAAACATTGAATTTTAAAATAAATAAAAATAGATATTTTTGTTTACAGGGTTCATGAAAATAATGGAGGAGCTAGTATGATATACATACATATAATTTCTTGCAAAAAAAATAGAACAAATGTCCATAGATGGCATGCTGTGGTTGTTAAAAAACAAAATATCTAGTATTTGTGATGTAGGTGGTTATATTTTGCAACTTGTTATATAATACTTACAGATCAATTATTACATTCATGGTTGTTTTTAACTGTGTCATGAATATGACATTTAATTTATTCCTAAAAATCACTTCGTTTTACCGTATGACATTTTCAAGGACCGTATACAAAGAAACACATTAAAATGTCATATATTGTTATTTTTTTATAAAGGGCACTAATAAAAACAAAAAATATATACACATAGATGTACACAAAAATGCTATATTTAATTTGTCCTTTCATTTTTATTTTTTTTACTGTTTTGAAATTCTAAAAAGTCACTGACCCATAAATACTGTTCGTTTTCTCACAAACTGCTTGTTTCGTGTCTTAGGCCATCAATGTATACTTACTTACATTTACGAGTCATTAAATCGTGTTTAATTTTGACTTCTCTGTGCATGCTCTTTGACATGGACCCCCATACCTGCATTATATGACTGACAGACAACAACGGTTTGACTGAACAATGTCAAAATTGAAAACACTGTGGAAACAAGACAACTACATCTTGGTTGCCCTTGAGGTAAGCTAAAACATATCAAATTAATTTCAAAGTGAACTATCCCTTTAATCCAAAAGGAACCAGTGTGATGCTAACTGCCGATTGGCCTACAAAGTGACGTCATAACTGACATGTGGAACAGCCAGGAAGATCACAAAAACAATGACATTTCAGGAGGGCAGTTATTATTAGATAATACTTATTAAATAGCAATGGCCATCCAAATAAATATTTTTAGACTCAAGCATAACGAGAAAAACATGACTATGACTTGCTAAAAGTGATGTATCTTACACCGTGGGAAACCTGGAGTCAACAGACAGACAATTACTTAACCAAGCCTCATCATAAAATAAATATTCAGAGTATAAAAAAAACAGTTTTTAACCACGATAAAGAGATCGTGTTAAATAAAAAACATCTGTTGGTGATGCATAGGCTTAAAAGATAGATACATTAACAGGTCTCAACACCATGATCCTGTGTATTTAAAAAAAGATTATAACTCATCTGCAGTATCAACAAACAACAATAGAGTAAACAGAACAGTGATAAGTACAGTAAACACACGACCAGTCTATCAAAGTGCAATGATCAACGTGTAAATACCTGCTGCTGATGAAAACGCCTTGAAGACCGCACACTGTATCACAATCAGCAGTCTACTAGCCGTGCACGCGTCAAGTAATGTTATAATTTGCAAAGACTCCGATTATTTTCACTGTCGGTGGAGTAGAGATCATGAGATGCTACTGCTCACACTCAAACCGACGTGGCATTTTGTCAATGCAGTAAAGTGCCGCGAGACTTTAGAGTTGTGTGTTCAAAAAGACATAAAACAATGAAATAACGCGATATTACAGCCACGCGTCAAGCCGGATGCGAATGGTGTACGTTAAATACTACTGAAACTGTTTATCACCAGTATTATTTTAAAGGTATCTTTCTGTAGTTGTACACGAGGAGATGGGCGAATCAGAGAAAGTTTATATTCTAAGAAAATATTGGGCGGCAAGTGTTGTTCGCGGTTTGCTGCTGCTTCTTCTTCTTCTTCTTCTTCTTCTTCTTCTTCTTCTTCTTCTTCTTCTTCTTTGAGCTTATTGGTGGTTCGCATTCTTAAAAAGAGCATTACCGCCATCTACTGCAGGAATAGATCAGAGACACACTTATACCACAACTCCCAGAACAATCAGGACTTGTGCTTTCAATGTTGCTGCGTGTTCAGCTCCTCCATTTACAGCCAAAGTCCATCATCTTCCAGAGAAGGATACTGATACTAATAATACTAATAGCCTATCTATATTCTAAAGATCAAATTTGTTCTACTTAAAAACTTTATTATTAACCTACTCCCCTCTGCTGAGTTTAAAACCATCTTTAACGTTAATTGTTGATTATCTTTCAACTTAAATTCTTCAATCATTTTTTACTTCTTTCCTCAGAATATTTATTACACTTAATAAGTACATGCTCCACTGTTTCTCTGATTCCACACCATTCACATAATCCTGTAGGATGTTTTCCAATTATTTGCATTGTTGAATTAAGTCCTGTATGTCCCAGTCTTAATCTAGAAATAATACAGTCTTCCTTCCTTCTCCCAATTGAATTCCTTCCTCTACCAACCAATGGTTGTATTAAATGTAAATGTCTACCTTTTTCCTCATTGTCCCAATACGATTGCCAATTTTTATTTATCTCCCTTTTGATTATTGATTTCATTTCTAATTTACTATACCCAATTTGAATATCTATATTTTCCCGCGGTTTGCTGCCATAGATATATACAGTACTAGACCTCACCTTGGTTCTAAGCATGTGTCAAAACCGCCGCCATCTTGGAACAGGGGTCTTGTCATAGGAAGTAGCTAGTTAACGCTGCTGTCTCTGCCTTAACTTCGAATTCATTGATGGTGGTGGACTTTTGTGCAGCGTATGATGTTCACGGATGAAATCTGAACTAGGAAGAGTGTTTAAAAAAAAAAAAAAAAATCTTTCTGGAATCAATGATAAATACAGTCTGACCGTTGCCAAAAAAAACAAGAAAATCGCATTCATGATGATTTATTTCCGTTAGATCTGTGTCTACTACAATAGCTGTGTCCCAATGTGAAGGTTGCGTCCTTCGAAGGCTGTAGACTTCGAAGGATGCAGCCTATTTGGCCTTCGAAGGACGCTTCATGTAGCCTTCGTGGGATTTCCTAATTGCGCAACCAGGTGTTCCCTATTACTGCTCCTGGCGCCAAGCAACGGAGCGAGTACAGCGCTGCCATGATCACTCATTTAATGAAAATGAGTAAACAGCTATGGAGACAGGCTATTGTCATTTTGTTGTTTTATATTTTACTGGAAATTTTTATATTTTCCTGTCTTTAAATGAGGGGCAATATATATAAAATCACATAATTTCAATTCACATAACCACTAAAAAAATATTTCGAGTCATGTATTTTCGGCTCAAGAGTTGGCCAGAGCTGGCTTAATGCTAGAGGCTGCGTCCTGAATAGCCAGATTACACTGTAAACTGTTCAAATATTGGGTGTTAACCTACGTAAATATTGTAATGAAATAGCCTAAAAAATAATAATGATAAAACATAGGCACATATAGCCTATATTCAAATGTTAATCGTACCTTGATGCGATTTTGTAGGGTTTTCTTTTCATTGCCTAAATATGGACCATGGTGAATATATTTATACAGGCTGTCAATCCTATTTGAATATTTTAAACCGGTTGGATATAAAAAGTCCAGTGCAAACGTCGTTACTCCCGCTCGTCGTGGTCAGCTGTCAGTCACAGTTGCTAGGCGACAAGAACAATCATCCGCACGCTAGACCAGTCCGAGCGCTCTAGGTGCGCACTTTGATATGGGACGAAGTTGAAGTTAGCAAAAATTTGTTAATATTGTGACAATGGACCAACAATTTGTTACTTTAATTTTTAAAATAACCAGAGGGAGTCTGGGAGAATGTATAAGGAACTTACTGCGATAGTATTCATGTACAAATGTGAAGTAGCCTACTTTTTTCCCTCACAGGACAACACTACACATTTTACATTAAACGACAAAAAAGTATATTATAGTTTAATGTATCAACCTTGCAGATCAGAGACCCTTACAAAAATAAACAAATATCCAGAGCCATGAATTCTCTTTTGTGTACACATTTAAAGTTGCATAAAATAATGAAATAATGAATAATAAAGACATACAATGTACAAGAAATACAATACAAGGCTATAAAGCCGTTTTCGCATTTCCACTTGACAAAACCATGCAATGCTGACGAATGAGTTAAGATGAATAAGAAAGAAAAAAACGAGAAAAAAAAAACTTTTGGCTGTTAACACTGGCTTCTCTGGCTATTTGAGTAAATAAAAACATAATACTTTTACATTTAAATGTGAATTTGCCGTCCACCACTAAACTCTCGGCCACCCTTTTTTTAAATAAAAATGCTGTCGTCACCCGCGCAATGATTTATGGGGTAGGATCGGGTAGTCCGCGAAGTGTCCATTACTGGGTGCTTCTCATTTCTTATTTGTGCATCCTCGTTTCCTTTCCTTGCTTCCTTTCCTTGCGTCTCAGCTCCACCCCCTATAGGACGTGAGGGAAGGAAGCGAGGAAAGGAAAGGAGGACAGAGGAATCGAATAAAAGCTTTTTTATATCCATTGGAATTCTTGATCACTCGAGTGTCACTCCACAGTGTCATCAGCAGCGCTAAAAGGATCCCTTATGTTGTTGAAGTTTGGTAATTCATAATAAATAATAATAAAGATAGACTATACTGTTGAAATATCTGAGATGTGTGGTTTATATAAACTGCAAAGGTAAAGTATAAATTAAAATGATTGTGACCGATGTGAAGGGGGAGGAGAATTGACACGTGCGTCACGTTTAGTCAATATAACAGTTCCGCGTAGGATGCACCTGTGTATCCTCGCTTATGACTCCTCAGGAAGCCTCCTCACTCCTCGATCCTCGACTCCTCACGAGGCAATAAGAGAATTGAGATGTCCTTCAAGATGGCTGAGCTCGATCGGTTTCCGGGTCATAGGAGGGAGGACGGAGGAGCGAGGAGACGAGGAGGGATATTGAGAAGCACCCTATGTATCCTTCCTTTCACGGGGAAACGAAGGGTGCATTTGGCGTCGCTTTTGAATGAGGTAAGCCTTCGTCGCGCTGCAATGACGCAACCGGCCTTCGAATACGGCCTTCGGAGGATGCATAACTGAATTGGGACAGGGGACTTTCAAGATGGCTCCTTGAACACACGTGTTTCGATGAGTTCGCAATCCTAATCACTAAATTAACCTATATAACGCTATTGCAAATATAATCGTAAAAGTTAACTCAAACTAATATTACTGTGATTCACCAAAGACCAAAATGGGTGGCTCAGAAAAAAGGAAAAGCTCCGGAAAAAAGGCTGGAAAGTCCGAACCAACTGCTAACTTGGCTAATAGCAGCATCAATTTGCAGGTGGCCGAGAACTCTGTTAAAGTCTCCTCGATTGCAGACAACATGCACGACTATCTTAAACAAGGTAATGATCCAGAGGAATTTATGCTGGTGGAGGAGGAATTGCAGTGTTTCCAGCTCCCTGTAAATCGCCATTATCCAAACAACGCAGAATTACGGATAAGGATACATCGGTCATCCTCTCGCAGATCTCGGACCTCTCTCGGCTGGTGCAGGACAGATCGGACGCTCTCGAGAAGTTGGTTGAAAGAAACTCACAGGTAATAAATGAAATGAAAACAGAAGTCGGTGTCAACTCAAAACAAATCTCAGAGTTAAAAGAAACGATCGAGTTTATCTGTGCAGACGTCAATGCCATGAAACCTCGATTGAAACAAGCTGAAAAGTGTGCCGAAGTGCTTGAAAGACGTCTAACGTTGTTGGAGGGCTATTCCCGCAGATGGAATTTAAGAATTCAGGGGATTAAAGAGAAGAATGGAGAAGATGTCCGTTTCGAGGTCATCAAAATATGCCAATGCCTCTTACCGCAGCATAAAGACAAACTGCCTGACGTCGTGGATGTTGCACATCGCCTTGGTCGTGTTAAACCTGGAAGCAGCACTCCTAGAGCAGTTATATTTCAGTTCACATCACGGTTCTTCAGGGATGCTGTCTGGCGTGCCATGCCAAAGATGCAGACTTTCTAAAGAACAACCACCTGAGGATCTCTGAGGACTTGTCTCCTGCCGACAGAGAAATGAGACTAAAATTATGGCCTGCTGTCGAAAAAGCCCGTAAGGAAAACAAGAAAGCTTTCTTCGTTGGTGGCCGTGCTTTTGTAGATGGCGTTGAAATTCATCCACCCACTTAAACTACAAGGGACGCCCTTACTGTGAATGAAACTCGAAGGAAATATCTTACCCCAAACATGTTCGTACAAAGGTACTTTCCTTATTTCCTTGATTATTGAGCCTCCAGTTTAAATGTTTTGTTTGGTAAATTTATAAAAGAGGCAAAAAAAGAGAGAAAGATACTCTTCACCATACAAGACTTGAATGAGACTGAGACTTTAGTACAATTGTTTTGATTTTCACATTTAAGAAAGAAGCAATAGCACTTATAAAGTGGAAGAGAAGAGACTGAATAAAAATAATTCCTAGCTTTGAATAGGGATTGCTGTTCTCATCCCGGTATTCATCTGTTGTAATCGGTTAAGATTTGCTATATTTTATAGGAATCTTCTGGATTTAACTTGTGTTTTGTTTAGAGTTTTGGTTTATGTCTTTATCTATTGTTTCTCTTAATTGTAGAGGGTTACGTAACATTGTTAAGAGGAAAGCAATTTTTTTGTATTTGAAGCGCTTTAATACAGATTTTTGTTTTTTGCAAGAATGCCATTCGGATAGTCTAGATGTTAATTTCTGGAGGTCGCAGTGGGGACTAGATTTATGGTTAGCTCATGGCACTACTCATTCTGCTGGGGTTTGTATCTTGAAAAATCGTTTTAAAGGGAAAATATTAAGCTCTGAATGTGATATGTCGGGACACTACATTTTACTTGCCCTTGAAACTTTAAAATCAACCTGTATTGTTATTAATGTAT